ACACACACACACACACACACACACACACACACACACACACACGCATACACGTGTATCCGCGTGCTTCTGCAGGGACCTCGCAGCGAGGAACTGCCTCGTCGCCGACAACCACTTTGTGAAGGTGTGTGACTTCGGGCTGGCGCGGCTGACGCGCGATGACACCTACACGGCCCACGCCGGCGCCAAGTTCCCCATCAAGTGGACGGCGCCCGAGGGACTCGCCTACAACACCTTCTCCATCAAGTCCGACGTCTGGGGTAGGTGGCGCCACCGGCGCAGCGCGGCGGTATTCGCGACCCGACGCGCGAAGTCGGGAGCGAAAAAATGTCCCAATTTTTTTGTACGATTTCGATCGGGGACAGAGTGGCGAATTTACCGGGTTGGATTCTGTTTGTTTACGAGACTAACCGGCGGCGGCGTAAGTTAGTGGAGAACTTTACATAGAGGAGTGTTTTACATAGAGACTAAGAGAGTGAGAGTTTTGTTTGTGAGCCACACGCTCTTTGGATGGGACACACCTAACTTTTATTCACCTAGAAATCTTTTCCCGAGTAAGGTAGTAAGTTAGTTTCACGGTAAAATCTTGGTGTCGAACACAATATTATGTCAAATATATACTGACACGACGGCTTCTCCTGCCAGCCCATTCGCTCTGTAAAGCAACTGCTCCTCTTTCCCAATCACTTTTCTCCGTCGAGTTGTATCTATCATCTGCTCGGAATCCGCCAGCGTCTTTCCCACGATGTTCGTGCTTCGTTGGCTGACATCAGCCTGTGTACAGCGGCCCATACACGCACAATATTATTGACAATAATATTGTCAATAATGAGTATTGACAATATTATTGATCGTTAGTGTGCAATATTGAAGGAAAATGCTGACTTGCGCAATATTCTGATGGAATCAAAACCCAGTAGATATTTATTGAAGGTTGTGCAATATTATTGTGTCGTCGCGGTGGCACATAATCAGAATATTGTGCAATATCTCATTGTCCACTCATTGTCTCATTGTGCAGATCCATGTCTGAACACCTTCAGCATCAGAGCACAAATGACGATATTGCATCAATATTATTGTGCCGTTGGTGGCCAACAGAATTTCTTGTCAATAATATTGCATCAACATTGCTTTATATATTGCATTATATATTGCATATGTTGCTTTATATTGCATAATATTGCTTTACAGCTTTCGGCGTGCTGCTGTGGGAGATAGCGACGTACGGCATGTCCCCTTACCCCGGGGTGGATCTCACCGAGGTCTACCACCTGCTGGAGAAGGGATATCGCATGGAGAGACCGCAGGGATGCCCAGAGAATGTCTACGACCTGATGAAGAAGTGTGAGTGTCGCTCACGATGTCATTCGTGGTCGTTCGTTAGTTCGGTTGTTCGGTCGTTCGTTCGTTCGGTCGTTCGGTCGTTCGGTCGGTCGTTTGTTCGGTCGTTCGTTAGTTCGGTCGTTCGTTAGTTCGGTCGTTCGTTAGTTCGTTCGTTCGTTCGTTTGTTCGGTTGTTTGTTTGTTCGGTCGTTCGTTTCGGTCGTTTGGTCGTTCGTTCGTTCGTTCGGTCGTTCGGTCGTTTGTTCGGTCGTTCGTTCGTTCGGTCGTTCGGTCGGTCGTTCAGTCGGTCGTTCGTTCGTTCGTTTGTTCGTTCGTTTGTTTGTTTGGTCGTTCGTTCGTTCGTTTGTTCGTTCGTTCGTTCGTTCGTTCGTTCGTTCGTTCGTTCGGTTGTTCGGTCGTTCGTTCGGTCGGTCGTTTGTTCGTTCGTTCGGTCGTTCGTTCGTTCGTTTGTTCGGTTGGTCGTTCGTTCGTTCGTTCATTTGTTCATTAATTTGTTCATTAGTTTGTTCATTGATTTATTTGCTCTTTTGTTCGTTCTTTCGTTCGTTCATTCATTTATTTATTCATTCACGTCATTCATTGATTCATTGATTCATTGATTCATTATATGTTTAAACCAAGTAATTTATTTACATTGAAAACATTTTGTCGTTGTCATTGTGTTATCATTGTTCATATGTTGTTTTAAAACTGCTGTCATCATATATACTCCTAATAGAATAACGTACATCTTATTCGTAATTAAAATGATGTAATCGGCAGCAAGTCTTTTCTCATAGAATTGCAACACTTGTTCTCTCTCTTCTCAGGCTGGCAATGGGACCCAAACCAAAGACCAACATTCAAAGAGATTGGCCGTGAACTGGAAGATATGTTTCCAAACTCCAGTATCAGTGAAGGTACATCCATAGTGTACACAATATCATATCATACATCAAAGGCAATTACTACATGAACAGAGTCTAACTGAATAGATTTATGTTGAATTTTTAATTTTAATTAAAAAATATTTTTTTTTAAGTTAGATTGTGTAGTAACCTGAAATTTGTTACAGTGAGATAGTTATTCTTTCTTAATAATGGCGTTCGCTCGTCTTGCTTGGAAACTGTCCCGTGTCCGTCCAAGTAGCGGATGTTTATACTTGCAGAAGTGGAACGCACATTGAATCGCTCATCACAAGGCATGTCTAGTTTCCGCGGGAGTGCACCAGATGTCTCTGGCAGGCAAAGTGAGTTTGATCGTCTTGTGTCGTTGCGCGTATTTCTCATTCTAACCTCCACTATTTGGTAGGAAGCGTAACACACAACTTATCCAAACCAGCGCGAACTTAAAGCCAGTCGCGACAATGCCACAGTCGTCTGCAATCGTTTCGTTTTTATCTCGCCAATCGGTGGAGCGTTTCGTCACGACATTAACCAGCGACGCAGCCGCGCCTCACCGTTTCGTTTTTCTCTCCCCAGAGGGCAGTCCGCTGTCGGCGGAGTCGTCGTTTCACAGCAGGAAGACACCCGGCTCGACGCAGTCGCTGCACAAGCTGGTGACGGAGCGCGAGTCGCCGGCGACGGCGGCGTCTGCTGCGCGCTTCAGCAACGTGCTGCTGCGAAACAAGAGCGCGCGCACGGCGCCGACGCCTCCCAAACGCACCAGCTCCTTCCGGTGAGTGCCATCTGCGGGTGATGCCTGGGCGAAAGATTTCTGATTGGCCCCCGCACGTCGGAGGAAATGATTTCTCATTGGCCGTCACGGCCGCAGTCGTCATCCGAAGATTTCTAAGTCGCCGCAGCCCGTTGAGAAATTTTTTATCGTTTATCAAAAAAATCTGACGCGGGAGACTTGTGCCCCGTGTCTACACGGGGGGAGTAACCGGCATTCCGCTCCATTTAACACCACCACAGGCAACTTCACTTCACCCCAACCCCATCCAACCCCATCCAACCCCATCCAAGACTACTGCCTACTCCCCACCCATCCCTCTACGCGCCGCGCGGTTGCGAGACGTCGCCACGGTAACTAACCGGCTCCTCTCTTCGCGCGCGCAGGGACCGCGACGAGAGTCCGTCGCCGGGACCCGAGGACTCTCCGTACGGCGAGGAGATCAGCCGCGTCTTCGAGAAGATCGACAAGGACCTGCAGACGATGTCGGCGCGTCCCGTCGACCCCCCGCCCTGCGGCGGCATCGGCGGCGGCGGCGGCGGCGGCGGGCGGGGCCGCGACACGCCCCCCACCTCCCAGCAGCAGCGGCAGCGCGGCGACACGCCCGCGTCTCAGAACGCGAGACGCTCGACCCCGCTGTCTCAGGGCAGCCGCAGCCAGTCGACGCGCAAGCCGATGAAGGTGACAGCTAGAGGTCGTCTGGGGAGAGGTCAGGCCGGGTCGGTAGTTTGGGTAAGGAAGGGTGGGGGTCAGGTCAAGGCCCAGGCGAGGTCAGGTAGGGGGGGGGTGTGGGCTAGACGAGGTCAGTTCTTTTGTGTGTGTGTGGGGGGTGGGGGGGTCAGGCAAGATCTGTCAGTATTCGGGTGTTGGGTCAGACTCAGTCAGTACTTGGGTGGGGTGAAGGAAAGGTCAGTACCCTGGGGGGGGGAGTCAGACGAGGTCAGTGTATGCGAATAGGTCATAGCATAGCACTTGCTGGTTGCATTGTAATTGTTGTTCCGTTCACTAACAGCATATGTATGTACCATTTCCCTCGCTTACAGGTTCCCGAAAAAGTAAGAAAGGCACAGGAGAAGGCAAGGGCTGCTTACCAGCAGCAACAGCAACAGCAGCAGCAACAGGTGCAGTTACAGCTGCAGCAACAGCAGCAACAACAGCAGCAGCAACAGCAGCAACAACAGCAACAACAACAGCAACAACAACAGCAGCAACAACAGCAGCAGCAGCAACATGATGGCAGTGGAGACGTGCAGGTAAGGCAGAGAGAGGAAAACACATCTGTGTCCTCCCACAACTGATTTCTACAGCGCGAATCTCACTGCCAACTCCCTAGTACCCACAGCCAGTGCTGAATATCAGATATTTGCTTTCGATCTCTCTTGCAATTATTCATGTCTGAACACTCGACATGGCTGAGTCGCTGACATGGGCTGACCAAAGAGAAGAATTGTGGATACTATATCAAACGTGATGACAGTCATAATATTGGGCACTGTTTGTTACTTGCCCGGTTACCCAAGTGTGCGTGTCTACTGCTCTGCTCACGTGAGTTCGCATGGAATCTGTGCCCAAAACGCGCATGCATCCCCAGTCAGCTAAATTACTACGAGCCTGACTCATGGCTTGGACTAACCCCCTACTGTAGCATTTCCTGTGAAAGCAGCTGCGGCGGCCTCAGGGTTACTGAAACGGAGATAGGCACCGCCCTGTGCGCCTATGATCCACATAGGCGCGGGAAGGATTTAACTTTAACTTAACTTATTCATGAAGGGATTAATAATGGCGACCTTGACTCATAAAGTTCGCCAAAACTCACGCGCGTGCATCCCCAGTCAGCTAAATAACTGCGACCCCGAACTCGGGGAAAATCGCAAAAGGAAATCGACATCGAGGCTCCGGCCGGCTGACGTACCACGACCAGTGGCGTAGTTAGGGGGGGGGGGGATCCTAAAGTTAAAAAAAAAATAAAATAAGAATTGTTGTACTAAAAAGAGAATTGTCATAGCCAGAATGAAGGCTGTACATATACTCAAAAGTGCCTAAAATACCATCTCCTGCAATCTACATTTTCAAAGTTTTCTGGGGGAGGACCCCCCTACCCCGAACCCCATACCCTCATCCGCCCTCCTTAGAATCCTGGATCCGCCATTGAACAGTTACACATCTTGGGAGCAGAAAACAACGAACAAAAATGTCGCCTGTTTGCATGGCGCCCAAAACAAAGATGGCAGAGTTGAGAGGTGGGGAGCGTAGGGTGTGGAGAGGGAGGCGGAGGAACCATTAAAATATATAGTCATCCACTATTTTGCGCAGTTCGCTGTTTTTGCCCCCCCTGTTAAAAAAATCCTGGCTATGCCACTGACTGCAGCGTTGCTGACCGTTAGCAGGTGGGAACGCTGGACGAGGCGTCGGTGAATCACGCTACGCATCGCTACGGCACGCTACCCAAGGTGCACCGCATCGACGCCTACCTCGACTCCCTGCAGCAGCAACAGCAGCAGCAGCACCCTGGCAACGCGCACCAGGGGGCGCCGGCGGTGATCGACGAGGTGGAGGCAGAGACAGGTAGATTCTGTGGGATATCGTCTCCTCGCTCCTGGTTCCTGCGTATGTTTTATTTTTGCACGTCGTTTTTGCCAAGTAGGGGCAGAGTTTTTTGCCGTCCTTTACAGTTTATATATATATACGTATATATATATATATATATAATATATATATATATATATATATTGTTTTCACAATACTCGCCACGTGCGTTTATAATGCGGATGTGAGACGGAAGGAAGTGAGTTCGAAATTGGTTTTGTGTGGGTACAGCTCTGCCCCTGCTATGGTTGCATGTCTCTCTGTATTTTACTGTTTCACTTCTGATCTGTTTTCTGATAAAACGCTCTTATTATCGTTTCTTATTAATTATTATCATTTCTCTTCTAATAACAATACGCTATTCTTATTGTCTCGACTTTGTTGTACACGTGAATAAGTCTGTCACAGTTATCCGCTGTCAAGTCTGTTGTCAAAGTTGTCACCCGTGTCAAGTCGACGTCTCCGCACATTTTCTCGCCTGTATTGTATTATCCGTCTTCTTCTTCTTCTTTGAGTCAAACCTCTGTTCGAACCAGAGGTTAAATCGCCGGTATTTCTCCGCGAACGCGATCTTCCGCGTCGGCCGCGATCAGCGCCGTCGCTCATTCGCGCGCCATATCTCCGCCGCAGGCTCGAGCCCCAAGCACGAGGCGCCCTCTATGAGCGACGAGATCCTGAGCGCGCGCGCCAAGCTGAAGAGGGCGCCGGCGTCGGAGCCGCCGGCGGTGCCGCAGCGCGAGACGCCGGCACCACCGCAGCCCGCCTACATGCTGAGGTCGAACTCGGCGGTGGCGGTGGGAGGGAGGGCGCCACCGGACGCAGCCATCTCGCTGCCGCGCCAGAAGTCGGATCTCTCGCAGGCGAAGAACTATCCGGGTGAGTGACGGTGATGATGATTATGGTGATGATGATGATGATGATAATGATGATGGTAATGATGATGATGATGATGATGTTAATGATGATGATGATGATGACGATGATGATGTTAATGATGATGATGATGTTAATGATGATGATGATGATGACGATGATGATGATGACGATGATGACGATGATAATGATGATGACGATAATGACGATGATGACGATGATGACGATGATGACGATGATGATGATGATGATGATGATGACGATGATGACGATGATGATGATAACGATGATGACGATGATGATGATGATGATGATGATGACGATGATGAAGATCATGCCGATGATGACGACGATGATGACGATGATGATGATAATGATGATGATGATGACGATGATGACGATGACGATGATGACGCTGTTGACACGGCAGTCGACAATGTATTAATCGATGGGTTGTTCTTGTGTAGCCTCTCTCCCACCGCTTCTCGGTTCGCGTGTAGCCTTGTTGGGGTTTGCTTTGGTTGCTGTACATACTGATATGAATGCTAGGCCCTAAAGAGTGTGCCGTGTATAGGCTGAAACCAATCAACAATCACCCTTCCATTTATTAATTACCAATTACTTGTTCTCGCGGCATGATACTTATATATACGACAGCAGGCACTTGGAATGTTTCAATAATAAAATGGAGGTAAATAAATGCGAATTGTATTTACTTACCTATGAAATACATTTCGTGTTTATTTACCATCATTTCATTACTGAAACGTCATTGCAAGGGCTGTGTGCAAACACAGTAGAAGTCGTTGGTGAGTTATCTACGATCTGCTTCATGTGCCGTGTGATGCTGCGTGTGTTCCAGACATGGAAGCAGGAGGCATGGTTGCCCCCGCCGGGTCCCCCCGCAGCGCGCGACAGTTCCGAATCTCCATCCTGTCAACGTCGACCGACGACACTGAGCGACAGTCACTGCCCAGCCCGCCGTCGGAGCACACCAGGGGGCGCCTGCCGTCGTCGTCGTCCTCGTCGTCGGAGAGCTCGCTGTCTGACCGCAGCCCCGCGGCGTCATCCGAGAAGAGATCAAGTGTAATTTAGGTAATCGAACCATGATAAATATAAGCGTATGGAATGACACAATGCAGCAGTAGTTTTATTGGACTCTTCTTTCCCAATACTCTCAAATAAGTCACGCCATTGCGCGGCGTAAGTGATGCGTCGTAGTGCGCGTGTGTATGCGTGTGAGTGTGCGGTGGCGCTGCGCTCGTACGTGCGGTGTGTGTGACAGCGGTGTGTGTGGTGTGTGCGCGTGGTGTGCGTACCGATGTCTGAGTGTGGTGCACAGCGTGCGCGCATGCGCTCGTACGATGGCGTGTGTGTGCGCGCATGACTGTGTGCGCGCGTGTCGTGTGTCGCGATCGTGTGCCGTCCGTGCGTGCAGCGCGTGCGTGCGATCGCGTGTGTGTAGGCGCATGTGTGTGGTGTCGCACGTGCTCCAGCTGCGCTGGTACGCTGCGTGTAGTATTAGGAGCGCGTGTGTGGCGCGTAGTGTGTACGTCCGTGCTGCGTGTGTGTAGCGCGCCGTGTGATGCGATGCGTGTGCCGTGCGTGACGCTCCGGCACGTTGCGTTTGTGTGTGAGCGCTGTGATGCGTATGAGTGGGGCGCGTAGTGTGTACGTGCGTGCGTGCGTGTGTGTCCACGCGTGTGTGTGCGAGCATCACCTTGTTGTCTCCAAGTGGAAATACTAAATGCGCGTGTGAATGTGTTTACATGTAAAGAAGCGCCATTGGTCACATGAACGCTTCTCACGTGAACGCTGATGGCTGATGATCTTGTGTGTGTTGACGCTGGCGTGGCATTTCTCGAGCAGCCACTATCTGAGCAATGTGTTCTGTGTTTTATATTAACGCTTCTTCTGTGCACCACACACGGAATTCTGTGTGACAAATGATTTTGTCAAGTATGTAGTAGTATATTAGTAAAGTAGTATGTGAAAGTTGTTCTCTTATATTTTCCATTCCATTACATTAGTTTGTATTAGTATTAAGTTTTGAACAGCACAATCCTGAAGTAGTAATATTA